AGGACTGTCCAGACACAGCAGGATCCCAGTGTCCCAGCGCCAAGTCTGTTATCTCTCCAGCCCTGATTTCCTCCCTCCAAGTTTGAATAATGCAGCCCGTGGGAACAGCTGGAGGAAGAGAGTGGCGAGGCAACGGTGAATGCTAATGGAGAAAGTGAGAGCTAGAGAGTGCCGGAGATAGCCAAGGGCCGGGCAGGGCCAAGCCCACCCCACACCAGGGCCGTGGGAGAGGCCCGTTAAAGGCCTCTCAGCGCTCCTGGCTCATCTCCCTTCAGGGCACCGAGGCTCTGTGACTGCGGCGTCCTCCTCCCGGGGCCCACAGTCTCCCGGGAAGCAAGCAGTGCGGGTTGCTGAGTGCAGCAGCCTTGGTCCAACTGGGAGAAGCCACACAGCGGATCGAACCAGGGCTCGGTAGAGAGCCTTGATTAACCAAGACCACGGGGACTGAGAAACGAAGGGTCTGAGGCAGATTTCTTTCCGGGAACCATAGTTTGGGGCGTTTTCACTATCTGCTCTCATGGCAAGCCAGGGCATTTCTAGTTTCTCGGCTTTATTAACTGTTGGGTTCGTTGTTGCAGTCAAGCCAACCAACCAGCCGGACCACCTGTGTGGCACAGGGTAACTCATTAGATCCCCAAAGCACAGCTGCTCAGTAGATCTGGCCCAAGTATCCTCCCCACACACTCCACACACTTCCAGAGTTTTCCCTGTACACATTTCGAGCTCTTTTTCTTCCGTGTATGGGTGTTTTGCCTGCATGCATGTCTGGGCATCGGTTGCATGCCTGGTGCCTGTGGAGGCCTGAAGAGGGCGTCAGATCCCCATGAACTGGAGTTAGCTGTGAACTGCCATGGGGGCTGCTAGGAGTCAAACATGGGCCCTCTGCAAGAGCAGTCAGTGCTCTTAACCACCCAGCCCCTCACTTGCATTCTGTCTTGTTTTGTATTCCTTGTGATCCTCTGGCTTCCACTTCCTTAGTGCAGGGATGCTGGTTTGGGGGGAATACTGAGTGTGAAACCTAGGGCCTTGTGCATGCCACCACTGAGCGATACCACACCAGCTGGTGTCTTGTTCTTCTCAGTCGGGGCACAGTAGACACCCTCACCCCTCTGGAGCAAGTGGATTTGATCCTAGGGTTTCTGGCTTTGTTAGCAGTAGAGGACACTCTTGAGTCTCTTTTTAAAAAAAAATATTTCATTTATTTATTATGTATACAACATTCTGCTTCCATGTATATCTGCACACCAGAAGAGGGCACCAGATCTCATGACAGATGGCTGTGAGCCACCACGTGGTTGCCGGGAATTGAACTCAGGACCCCTGGAAGAACAGTCAGTGCTCTTAACCTCTGAGCCATCTCTCCAGCCCCTTTACTAATGAATTTTGAGATAGGGTCTCACACTGTAGCTCTGGCTGGCCTGGGACTTGCTATGTAGATGGATTTGCCTGTCTTCTGCTTCCTGAAGTTTAAGAATAATGGTCACATGGGGCTGGAGGGATGGCTTGGCGGTTAAGAGCACTGGCTGCCCTTCCAGAGAACCTGGGTTTGATTCCCAGCACCCACAGGGAGCTCACAACTACCTGCAACTCCAATTCCAGGGGATCCAAGCCTACCTCTGGCTGCTATGGCACTGCACACATGGTGCACTTATTTTCATGCACATAAATCAATTAGAGCCCAGGTGAGGTCATCTCCGGATGGTCTGCTAGCTCCTTGGCATTGGCAAGAGAGCCCTGAAGTGGCTGGGGGCAGGGATCAAGTCCCGAAGACTGGAGCCTGACCCCATTCAAGAATGAACTTCTGGGGTGATCGGGGAGCTCTGAAGTTCTCAGACTGGTCGGTCTCTCTCTCTCCCTCTCTCTCACACACACACCTCTGAGCCCTCAAGGGCGCTCCCCAAAATCCCAGCACCCACACCATCTTTGCAGCCATGGGCACATTCTGCAGTTGGCAGCTTGCTGGCATCCACCATAGGTCATCTGGGCCACGCAGCATGCCAGGACCTTTGGCATCCCATTTTTTTTTCCAACAAGGAGGTTACTACTATGCTCATGCCCAAAGTCCCAGCCCCCCCTTCAGAACTATGCATCCGGTGCCATCTGGATCCAGCTGGGGGAAAAGCTACAGGGTAATGTGACCAGGGAAAGTTTAATATAAAGATCATACACTTGCAAGGTGCATTGGAGCCATAACAGTCACTGGTAATTGGGTGCCAGGAGTTAGTCAGGGGACAGTGTGCTGCCACCAGCAATCTGGGAACTGGGGAAGCCACTGTACATTTGTAGCTCCAGGCACAGTCCCGGCCT